TTCTGCTCTGTGTCCGTGTGCATCAGGGGCTCTGAGGACAGGTGTCAATCCACATGTCAAGGTGTCAATATGTCATATGTCAGGTGTCAATCCATATTCATTGTGATTTAGGAATGTTAGGTGATTTCTGCCCTTTATGGATTAGAACCAGACTCTGTATCAACTGTGTAATTTTCCATGGGAGTTTTGCCATGGATCCCCCTCCGGCATGCCACAGTCCAGGTGTTAGTCCCCTTGAAACAACTTTTCCATCCCTATTGTGGCCAGAAAGAGTCCCCGTGTGTTTTAAAATTCGCCTCCCCATTGAAGTCAATGGCGTTTCGGGCGGTTCGCCGGTTCGCGAACATTTGCGGAAGTTCGCGTTCGCCGTTCGCGAACCGAAAATTTCGGGTTCGCGACATCACTATTTGTAATACAATAATTTTTAACAATACACTGAACTGTAATATACTGAGGTGTGATGATACAATAAGCTGTAATAATACACTAAGTTGTAAGGATACAACAAGCTGAAATGCTTATAGTTTGTAGAATGTCCCTTTAGTAATATAATAAGTTGTAAGGATACAATAAGCTGTAATAATACAATGAGCCATACGGCCTATAGCGTGTAGAATGTCCCTTCAGTAATATAATAAGTTGTAATAATACAATGAGCTGTAATGCCTATAGTGTGTAGAATGTCCCTTCAGTAATATAATAAGTTGTAATAATACAATGAGCTGTAATGCCTATAGTGTGTAGAATGTCCCTTTAGTAATATAATAAGTTGTAAGGATACAATAAGCTGTAATAATACAATGAGCCGTACGGCCTATAGTGTGTAGAATGTCCCTTCAGTAATATAATAAGTTGTAATAATACAATGAGCTGTAATGCCTATAGTGTGTAGAATGTCCCTTTAGTAATATAATAAGTTGTAAGGATACAATAAGCTGTAATAATACAATGAGCCGTACGGCCTATAGCGTGTAGAATGTCCCTTCAGTAATATAATAAGTTGTAATAATACAATGAGCTGTAATGCCTATAGTGTGTAGAATGTCCCTTTAGTAATATAATAAGTTGTAAGGATACAATAAGCTGTAATAATACAATGAGCCGTACGGCCTATAGCGTGTAGAATGTCCCTTCAGTAATACAATAAGCTGTAATAATACAATGAGCCGTAATGTCTATAGTGTGTAGAATGTCCCTTCAGTAATACAATAAGTTGTAATAATACAATGAGCTGTAATGCCTATAGTGTGTAGAATGTCCCTTTAGTAATATAATAAGTTGTAAGGATACAATAAGCTGTAATAATACAATGAGCCGTAATGTCTATAGTGTGTAGAATGTCCCTTCAGTAATATAATAAGTTGTAATAATACAATGAGCTGTAATGTCTATAGTGTGTAGAATGTCCCTTCAGTAATATAATAAGTTGTAATAATACAATGAGCTGTAATGCCTATAGTGTGTAGAATGTCCCTTCAGTAATATAATAAGTTGTAATAATACAATGAGCTGTAATGCCTATAGTGTGTAGAATGTCCCTTCAGTAATATAATAAGTTGTAATAATACAATGAGCTGTAATGCCTATAGTGTGTAGAATGTCCCTTCAGTAATATAATAAGTTGTAATAATACAATGAGCTGTAATGTCTATAGTGTGTAGAATGTCCCTTCAGTAATATAATAAGTTGTAATAATACAATGAGCTGTAATGTCTATAGTGTGTAGAATGTCCCTTCAGTAATATAATAAGTTGTAATAATACAATGAGCTGTAATGCCTATAGTGTGTAGAATGTCCCTTTAGTAATATAATAAGTTGTAAGGATACAATAAGTTGTAATAATACAATGAGCCGTAATGTCTATAGTGTGTAGAATGTCCCTTCAGTAATATAATAAGCTGTAATAATACAATGAGCCGTAATGTCTATAGTGTGTAGAATGTCCCTTCAGTAATATAAGTTGTAATAATACAATGAGCTGTAATGCCTATAGTGTGTAGAATGTCCCTTCAGTAATATAATAAGTTGTAATAATACAATGAGCTGTAATGTCTATAGTGTGTAGAATGTCCCTTCAGTAATATAATAAGTTGTAATAATACAATGAGCTGTAATGCCTATAGTGTGTAGAATGTCCCTTTAGTAATATAATAAGTTGTAATAATACAATGAGCTGTAATAATACAATGAGACGTAATGTCTATAGTGTGTAGAATGTCCCTTCAGTAATATAATAAGTTGTAATAATACAATGAGCTGTAATGCCTATAGTGTGTAGAATGTCCTTTTTAGTAAAAGGAAAATATAAACTCTGTTTTAACAAACTGTATATTAGTGCTGCAATTCCTCTGTAATATTCTGTTACTATATAGCGCTCTCTAGTGGTGAGAAACGCAAACACATTTCAGTTTTATTTAGCAGTTCTTGTGACGCTCCCTTATCCAGAGTGCTTTACAATGTGTGGTAATTGTACAAACAGAGACATATTCAGACACACTGGAACACATTGTCTGATCTGGTTACAATGTGATCATCTTTCTGTGTTCCAGCCTCGTGGCCGGTTTACGTCCAGCTAACCAATGGAAATACTTATGGCTGCGACTTTCTAGTCAGTGCCACAGGAGTGGTTCCTAATATCGAGCCCTTCATCTGCGGTAACAATGTGAGCCTTTCTGCATTTACGGTTTTTATTTCATACTTTTCTATGAGCGGCATTGACAGTGTGTCATTATGGAGGAGAGGTGCCTACAATAAGTCTGTACTCCTGTGTAATGTCATCTCACTGACCTTGTGTCCAATTCATCTGCTTTACCTTATATGTTTTGGATTTATCCATCTTTCCATGAGCTCATTCACAGGGGACAATCCACACTCTGCTCAAATCTTTCCAGTTTGATTTAGGGGAAGACGGAGGTTTGAGGGTTAACGAGCACATGCGTACATCACTGCCAGACATATACGCGGCTGGCGACATCTGCACGGCGTCCTGGAAGCGAAGCGCCTTGTGGCAGCAGGTAATGCAGGAGGCGCTGTGACCGCATGGTGTTATTGGTGACATAGTGAGAGTCTCCTGGAGGAACATACAGTGCTATGAGAGCAGCTTAGCGACACATTCTATCATTCATAAATTAATATAAAATATAAATTCAAACACTTCAGTTTGTTTATTCCCAATATTAAAGATATCTCCTTTCTTCTAGGAAGCAATGATGCTATAGTGACAGGTTTGCAGTATGATGAGTGTAGTTTATGTTGCAACCATTGGGGACCCAGTAAAAAAGATGGGAGTCCCTCTGGCGTAGACTAAATAATATACAGGGAGCGTCTGAAAGTCTAAAGGAGAATTGTAAACAATAAATGGAGGAGAGTATGTGATGGTTATAGAGTCGGTGTGTGAATGGAGTGCTAGGACTGATAATGTAGGCTACATTAATATTACTCTATCAGAGAGTATGTGATAGTTAGAGAGTCGCTGTGTGAATGGAGTGCTAGGACTGATAATATAGGCTACATTAATATTACTCAGAGAGTATGTGATAGTTAGAGAGTCGGTGTGTGAATGGAGTGCTAGGACTGATAATATAGGCTACATTAATATTACTCTATCAGAGAGTATGTGATAGTTAGAGAGTCGGTGTGTGAATGGAGTGCTAGGACTGATAATGTAGGCTACATTAATATTACTCTATCAGAGTATGTGAACGTTAAAGAGTCGGTGTGTGAATGGAGTGCTAGGACTGATAATGTAGGCTACATTAATATTACTCTATCAGAGAGTATGTGATAGTTATAGAGTCGGTGTGTGAATGGAGTGCTAGAACTGATGATGTAGGCTACATTAATATTACTCTTTCAGATGAGATTGTGGACTCAAGCCCGCCAGATGGGATGGTACGCTGCAAAGTGCATTACTGCAGATCTCCTGGGACAAGACATTGAAATGGATTTCTGCTTTGAACTCTTTGCACACATTACCAAATTCTTTAATTATAAGGTGTGTACATTGCTTACATTGCATGATTGATTTTATTTTTTGGATTTCTCTCTACGTACTTCATTGCTTCCCTGTCATATCTCCACCTATCGCACGTCCTGTCCGCCCCGTCTCCACCTATAGCACGTCCTGTCCTCCCCATCAACACCTATAGCACGTCCTGTCCGCCCCGTCTCCACTTATCGCAAATCCAGTCCGCCCCGACTCCACTTATCGCACCTCCTGTCCGCCCCGTCTCCACCTATCGCACCTCCTGTCCGCCCCGTCTCCACCTATCGCACCTCCTGTCCGCCCCGTCTCCAACCCTCGCACGTCCTGTCTGCTCCGTCTCCACCCCTCGCACGTCCTGTCCGCCCCACCTCCACCCCTCGCACGTCCTGTCCGCCCCACCTCCACCCCTCGCACGTCCTGTCTGCCCCATATCTATTCGTCACAGACCACCTCCCATTTAGAAATAATAGAAGCAGGCTACATGCACTGTTCTGCTGTTACACACTGCAATTTTTTTTTTTTTTTCTCCAGGTAATCTTGTTGGGAAAATACAACGCCCAAGGGCTCGGGACCGACCATGAGCTGATGCTGAGGTGCACAAAAGGCATGGAGTATGTAAAAGTAGTTATGCAGAATGGACGGATGATGGGTGCCGTATTAATTGGGGAAACGGATTTGGAGGAAACCTTTGAAAACCTAATTTTAAACCAAATGGATCTTTCACAATATGGAGAAAATCTTCTGGATCCAAACATTGACATAGAAGATTATTTTGATTAAAACTTGATAAAAGCTAAACCCAGGTCAGAGGAAGAGACGATGCAATGATCTGTGTCTGGCTGTAAATGCACAAAGACAGAACATGCTGCTGGAATATTGGAAATATTATTTTATTCTGTAAATATATCATATTTCTGTTAAAATGATGATTTTCTGCATTAATTATAAAGTATGCATGTCAGCATGCTATAAAGATCTTCTGTTTATCTAGGACAGGGGTGCCCAAAAGGTAGATCACCATGGGTCTAAAACTCCCATGATGCCTTGCCAGTCTAAAGGCATGCAAAGCATCATGGGCGTTGTAATTCTACAACATCTGGGGATCTACCTTTGGGCATCTCTGAACTAGGAGGAGATCGTGGATACGGGGAGGTGTTGCACAGGAGCATTCTGGGAAAAGAAACTGCAGTTTTCTGTGCTTATAGTGGACAGCCATGGGAGATTCAGCTACAGAAACCAAAATAAAGGTAAGAAAATTCATCCAGCAAAATAGAACATAAGACTCCAGGGATACAAAGGGACAACGTTCTGCCTTGTTTAATAAATGGCAAATATAGAGGAAGGAACGGAAACCTATCCTCTAAAAACTGGCATTCCCAAATTATATAAAACACCAATAAACGTATCAAAGCAATATCACTCCGTGCGAACAGAAATAGTCCTATCTGCCAGCAGTAACATTCTTATAAGGAAATCATGATCGTAATCAAACACAAACCTAGTAATGTCTGTAGTGAGTATTAGGTCCTAATGGTTTGTTAGTAATTGTATTTAATTATGGAATGCTATCTAATCTCATATACAGAGTGATAGTATTAACCTGCTGCTTCCAACATCTCAGATGGCCCCAGTAGACTGGAAATGTTAGCCAAGTGACAGACATATTGAGCATCTTTCTGCCCACGGGTAAAACTGGTCGTGGGCATTCTGCACAAAGCCTGTGTGTTGTAGCCTTATCTCCAGATATGGTGAAATATGGACAGCAGGAACCCATTCACTGAATCTTGGACGTTTAATGTGTCCCCGATCAAAAAAGACGCCGCTTTATTAGGAATAGTGGAACACTCCTCATCTTCGGAAAATGAATCGAATGAAACATCTTCAACCAAACCATAATAATCATCAGAGTCTGAATCAGACGATTCACTGGATGAAGTATGATATGAATCTGGTTTGCGTTGGATGATTTCCGTATTCGCAGAGGGTTTGTGTGATTTAGACACATGTTTCTTTGATTTTATCTTGGTCCCTATGTTTGATAAGGCTTTTACTCTGTTTAGGAAGGCTTTCTTTTATGGGTAGCTTTACCTGTTTTTAGAAACCTTTTGGCCAGGTTACGAGGGGACTCTCCGCTGACCAGAAGGTGCAGTGACATCAGAAATGTTTTCTCTGGTAATAGTGTGGGATAAAGTCATAAACATGGATTTAGACGAGGATTCTTGCATTTGAAACCGTTTTAATTGATCCAATGTAGATTGTAAATGATCCTCACTTCACCTGCCTGCTCAGAAAGGGTGGGTCAGTAATAGCCCTCTTAGCTTGTTCTTTATTGGCCATAATAACTAAATCAAGCAATGAATCTGAGAACAAACTGAAGCACAGTCAGTCAGCGGAGCACCAGCTGAGGTAACAAGCGTTGGGGTGATGGCATGGTCTTGGTCAGCGGCGGAACCAGAAAAAGCCACACCCAAGATGGCCGCCGCAATTAGAGTTCAGAGTTCAATCAGCCAAGAGCTCAGTATGTAAATTTCATGGAAAGACAGGAGGCTTCACTTTCTTTACTCAAACCTCCCAGCAACAAAGAAATGGTTAACATTGTAAATAAAAATCAACCAATCACAGTACGAATATTGGTAACAACGTGTAATGAAGCTCCTCCCACTTCCTCGTCGTTCCCAGGTGTGTATTCTAATTACACTGCTCTTAAAAGTTTAAAATTATTGCTTTTCACTTGAATGTATGCATCTTTAATGATTTTATTTACGTGGGCTTAATTTACTGTTTTATATGAAGGTTTTTATCCTTTGTATCTCTGGGGAACCCTTGTCCAGCCAACTGCTGTATGGCCTGTCCGAGGGACCTATTATCTCCTCACGCCTACTCCACTTATTCTTAATTGCCAGCGGTTTGTTTTTGTCCCGACACTCCAGCTACGGCAGACCGTGCTTACAGCTTTGCGGCATACCCACTCGGGTTCCACCCTTTCACACCTTCTCACCACCCACTCTCCTCCCTCTTGTGAGGCGCCGGCGGACATTTTAAACGACCCTTCAGTGTTTCCTGCCTTTTTCTCGTCTCACTCCCCTCATAATGGTCGTTTTTTTGTGTTGATGCTCAGACATTATAACTTCACTACTTAATCAATTGTAAGGCAAGCCTCTCGATCCCACATATGTTTATTCAGGTTTTTGCTAGAGATTCATGACCCTCTTCTGCTTTTTATTATAGCTTCACCAGCCCAACCATTTTGCTTTAGTTTTCCCTTGTCACTAACCCCACTCTTAATTTAAATGCTCAGCTGCCACTTTTATTACAGCTAACCGCTAACATTCTACACCAGACCCATAATGCATCGCACCATGAAAACGGGAAAAAAAAAAACTGAAAACGATCACACATAGGGCTTCTAAATAAACAAAAAAGCAGATTTATTGTAAGCAAACGTGCATTTGCATATAATCAATCTTTCAGTACAACTACCATGACATATTAAGGAAAGTTTCAGAATTGGACTGAAATTGTGAATGTATGCTGTTGCACAGCTGTAAAAATTTTGAAGTAACGAGTGTGTTCTTCACTTTGGCTGTAAACTCTATGATGTCAGCTTCACCGCACCAATCAGCATCTCCTCAATGCATCTTTATAGGGAGCGTTCAGCGCCTCCATGCAAAGTGTGGAGACGCTCAACGTAGGTGCAGCACTGGACTAGGAAGCAGCTCTAGTGGCTGTCTGAGTGACTGTCACTAGAGATGTGCGGAGGCAGCATTTACAGTGCTCAGCCTACAGGGACAGGCTATAGCCACCACAATCACTACATAAAAATTTAGTAGTTCTGGTGACTATAGTGTCCCTTTTAATATGACGTCTTTCTCTCACAGGTCGACTTAGTTGCATGTGTCTCATTAGCCTCCCAACCCTCCATCTGTCTTATTGGCCCTCTGTGTCCTTACACCCCCTTCCTAACCCTCCATGTATCCCTATAGTTCCTCCCCCCCAGCTCTCCTTGTACCTTGCTGTAGCGTGGCCGAGGATCCTCTATCACGGTCTGCCTGCTCAGCCACGCTACATTCCTCTCATGCGGTTACTCTGTAATTGAGCCGTGTGGCCCGCAGGAAGGTGCGCACTAGGCGGCCGCGTACCGGACCGATAGCATGCCGGCTCACTGGGAAATTTCCCGGTATATTTACTAATATTTGTACTGTGATTGGTTGATTTTATTTCACACACTGTTAACCATTTCTTTGCTGCTGGGAGGTTGGAGTATAGAAAGTTGTGACGGACCCCCTGGCACCCTAACTGGATGCCACCGCCAATCGCTGCTTCCTAGCGGTCGCCGAGTACCATAAGCACCGCACCGTAGCCGCCGCAGCTCGGCTGGGGTCTCGCCATCCCTTCTCACCCTGGACCAAACTCCTGGATCCAGCTCCCAGTGAGAAGACCTCTCCTCCAAAAAAGTATAAAATAGCAGTGTAGCTCTTACAAGAGCTAGTGATTATAGCAATCCAAAGAACAATCCCAAGAGTAGGGATTATAGCTGGTATAGCTTTCCCCTACAAACACGAGATGAGACTCTGTGTTGAGAGTAAACTGGAACTCGTTTATTGGTAGCCACAACTGGCCTTATATGCAGGTTCCCATGCAAGGTGCACTCCCTCCTGGACCTGAGAGTAGACTACAGTAAAAACATGCAAACAATTGTTCTCAGGTCCAAGACACTCCCACATAAAACAAGATAATCCCTTCTCTGTGCCTGGGAGATAATTGAGTCAGACATTATTTCTCCAGGCACAGAAAACAAACATTTTTACAAAACACCCAAAATATCTTTAACCCCTTAAGGACCAAACTTCTGGAATAAAAGGGAATCATGACATTTCACACGTCATGTGTCCTTAAGGGGGTTAAACACACAAACCCCCCACATATCCAAAAATCACCCAGATCGGTTCAGGGGTTCGGGAATTTTCTGGAAGTCAATTTGATGATCATAAGCCTATGCCCAAAACAGTTCCAAAGAATCAGGGCTTGCGGTCGATCTAGTTTGGTAGTTTAAAAACCGAACATAGTCAATGTTCACCTTGTTTGTGGCAAAGTTTCCACCGAACAGTGCCCTTTTAAGTTGTGTAGAACCGAACAAAGGTGATCCTGGATGTCCAATGGTGTTCGTGAGTTTCAGTGTCCGAAAACAGTTCCATGAACTCTATGACCAAACACTGCTGCCTGCGTTCGCGGGAACAATATAGCCGCCACCTTTTACTATTAAAACCCCGAATGGGTGATGCGCCAGAACCCTCCATATCTGACATTGTGGTGATCTGAGCGACCTTTCTTTCCTACTTTTACTATTCAGTTAAACACAGAAGAATGGGGCAGTTTCCCAGAAAATCTGAATATTTTCTATGTTTCTGGCTTATCAGATGAGGGAAGATCTCAGGAGACATGGCAAACGGAACGATTCCCTCACTACATAGGACTCAGACAGCCCAACAAATAGACGTATATTGTAACTGACCTTCCCTCCCCTTTCTGAACTCATGTTACCATGAACAACTGATCGTTCTGCATCTGAACTTTAGCTTCACCGGACTGACAGCTGACGCTCTCAGCCTAGCATTAGCTCCTCACTTAGAAAATACATACCTTTCTACTCTTTTTCTCAAAGAGGAGTCAACGATAGGCTGAGGGCGTTAACAGATTCTCTCAGCCTATCGGTGGCGGCCAGCTGAGGTTTCTTCATTGAAATCTCACACATGCAGTAAATGTCTAGAGGAAGAACATCAACTCAAAGACTGGTATTAAACTATGTGTTACCGGTCTAACCTCTTCCTGTAACTCCTTGTACCATAACAACTTATGCTGATGAAGTTGCTGTGATGTCTGGAAGTGGTCCCTTAAAGCCTATTCCCGGGTTGTAATTAAGACGGGGGAAGACCTTACCAGGGGTTCCCGTGGTTGGCAGAGGTATCTAGACGTGCCGTGCTGTAGAAGGACTGCTGTGATGGTCTGTGATGCCAAGAAGAAGGTATGGAACCCAAGTGGGGGATTCCTGTTCCCGATACATTGGGGTTGGTTAGCACAAGCTGGCCCTGATTTTAGATTCCTTTTTTTTTTTTTTTACTTCTGCTTCAGTTTTAAGTAAACTTTATTTTCATTGCTGGATGTGTCGATTTTGCGTGTTTTCTCGTATTATAAATTAGGTACACAGTTTTTCAAATCTTTTTGCAGAAGTTTTTGTTTGTAATTTGTGTTCGAATCACACGCGGTCTTATTAATGGATGTTATGTATAAAATAAAATCATTACTATTTGGAAAACAAAAATCTTATATAAGGCAATGAGTGGAAGGGTTATATTGAAATAAACACCTTTAATATACTTATTATTATACGGAACACATTTCTACACCCTTTGCGTTGTTTATTTTCCAGATTTAGGAATGCATTTGTTTCGTGGCTTTTTGGCTAAAATGTGAAAGTTCCTATTGCTTTCTGGATCACAGCTGACATAATATCCAGTAAGAAGATCCGCTGGACCCGTCTGGATTGCCAAAACTAAAATAAAAGCAATTTTCTATTTACCCATCGGTGCAATGAAACTTACTGTTTGGTTCTGCAGACTAGGTACAACCTTCTGGCAGCTCCATAAACCCACGTATTCTGCACTTTACACCAGCTCCATCTTACATTCAGACATACAGCAGGAGTGATTGCTTTTATAGTAAGTTATTTAACAGGATTAGTCAATTAGAATGGAGTCATCAGCTGACATTTTGCTCCTTTTGACTTCAGACGCACTCTCCGACTTTGAGTGCTTGTTTCCACCACGTCCTGTTAGAGTCGCAGACCTTTTCAACTGGTTTGTATTTTCTCTATTCGCATGAGATGCCTTTGGACTGGTGGCTTCTGGACGCTTTACCTGCAGAAACCATCAGTTAAATGTATTAAAAAAAAAAAAATAAAAAGTGTTTATTTCTTATAATTGTGCCAGGTGTAAAAGTGTTTAAGAATTTACTTAAAGGGTTACTGCAACCGCTTTGGAGGCAGTGGTGACCTTTCCGAAAAAAAATTCCCTATTGGGTACTATGGAGAAGAACCATCTAGGCTGTCCATGTAATGTGTGATTATTACTGGCAGACAATTACATATATCTCAGTATGTGTAGTGTTTCCTCCCACCATGACCACTTCAAACCACTTTAAATTAAACTGCTCGTCAGAAACCATGCAACACATAAGGGAAGGGAGTAGAAGTATAGATCAGGGTGTTGCAGTAGATGTGAGCCGTTTGGATTTTACTAAGGCATTTGATGTAAAAGGCTCCGCATAGAGATGGATTGAGCGAATTTATCTCTACAAGGAAATGCTTTATGGTGCAGAATTGGGACTGCTGCACATGTGCAAAGTCCCCCATTGCTAAATGGCTTCACTCCGGGACAGTAGTGGATTAGCTGAGATCACGTTCATTGATGATCACATCATAGAACACAGCGATGGCTGTTGCGAAACTGATGCGCCAAATTATTAGGTAAATTATACTGAAACTAAGTTTGCAGTGGGGCTCAGGAATCTAAAAAAAAAAGCAGGAACACACTCTAGCATTAATAATACATGCTGGTTTTTCGAACGTCAGATGGAAACATTTAAAGGTGAACATAGGTGGTAAGTAGAGTCTCTCATGGGTCGGTCTAAAAGTTTAAATTATCTGTATTTTGTAGAATGAAATATAATCCATAATGTCCCTCATTGGTACTGCCATAATACTATAGTATACTACCACATACCAGAAGCTTCCAAACAGTAAAAAAGGTTTCTGTGGGTCATACCATTCCTATAGTCAAGGAGGGGGGAGGCGTAATTGGACTCTACCATGTCACTGTCCGCATTACATTAGCATTCCAGAGATGAATATAACTTTTTAAACCTGCTATAGCAATCTTTATTTTTTAACTGTATGTGGGCATTACGCTCAGACACAGACACATCCTTTTTACATTCTGTTGCCATTTTCAGTAAGCGTTCCTGCTACAAATAGCTAGAAGCAAGATATCTGGTCATATTTATACATTTTTGCCACATTTACGGTATAGCAGAATCATTGCATTTTTTGCTTTTACACCGACATTTCACACACTGTATGCGGTCTAAAGCTTTTCATTTCCCAAATATTTGATAAAGCATAAAGGAATTAGAGAAAAATATAAATTGTGTAAATGTAGACAATTTACATTTGTCTGAAAAGCAATATGTACAGAAAACTGCTGTGTTAGGATAGGTTTCTATTCCAGCTATGCATGCTTTACTTCAAATAAAGTTATGCTAATATTTTTCACTCAAATAGTACTCGAAGGGGTTAATCTGTTTATAAATGATCTTACTAGAAGCATTGAAAGTCATGTGTGTTTATAGAGGACACAAAACTAGGTAAGATAATACACTGAGCAGGATATCACTTCGCTGCAGAGGGATTTGGATAAACTAGGGGACTGGGCAGCCAGGTAACAGATGAAATTTAATGTAGATAATGCAAAGTTAAGTATTTTGGGGTCTACAAGGTACAAGCAATGTGCACCGTAAATGGTCCTGAGTTAGGTAAGACCAGTACATAAGACTTGGGACTAGTTATAGACAGACAGAAACTATTGCTAACCAGTCAGGTATTGCCATGCATAATAAAGGTATTAATTCATGGGATAAATATATAATGTTGTCTTTTTATAAATCAACGGTGTGACGAGACCAATCTCGCCACATTGCATTGGAGGAGCCTGGTTGCCCGCCTGCTGCCTTTAGACTATGGCCCCATGTTAAAAGGCTTGATTTTCCCCTGCAATGACAAGAAAGCCGGGTCATTTGGTGCTTGCCCTGTTTGAGCGGTGATACCCCAGATAGCTATGCCATGGAGCCCATTCATATAATGAAAGACTATGGCAAAGACTTTGGCTCCATGGCAGTTGAACTGTATGTGTGTGATCTGAGCGCCATTCAGTAATAATGTGCGCTCAGACCTAAGCTATCTGGGGATATGTTGCATGTCTGTATTTTATGTAATAATTGTAACCTTGTGTATTTTATTGTATTTTACTGTCTTTTTACTGCCATGTGCTTAATGGAGTTTTGCCTCTGTCCTTGGAGATAATTGGATTACTTCTAATTATCTCCAGGATAGAAGACTCTGTGGAACTGGTTTTGGGCAGAAAAGCCATGCTTCCTGTGGTCACAAAGGACTACGATCTAGCTTTTGAACCACTGGACCAATTTGGATGATTTTAACATATGTTTGTATTTGGAGTATGCTGATTCTGAAAAGGTTATGTGAATGTGATGCATATTTTTCAAGTTATGAATAACCAAAGGTTAATTGGGGGAGGTTCTTGAAAAGTTTGGGAGACTGCCTGCCTGTTTTTTCCCTCCAGGTGATGAAATCCCAGTTGTAAAGCACTGCCTCTAATCTGAAGGGAAAACTGAATGTTAAAATTTCCCCTCAGGGGATAAGATAACTATAACATATATTCACACACAGTCAGTACAAGCGTTTCTCTAGTAATCGGTTGAATAATAGGACACAAAGTCACCCATTTAGACTTGAAGGGAGATTTCACCTACAGCAGAGAGAAATGTTCTTTAATGTAAAAACAATCAGCTCTGCAATTCTCTGCCCAAAAAAAAAAAAAAAAAAGAAAAGTATTTTTATGAGATTCCTTGCATATTTGTAAACATTTTGGATTTTTTTTGGAAGAAAAACATATAAAGATAACTTGATATGAAGGGAATCAGCCGGTTGATCCTGGGAGCAATCAGACTGCCATTTTGGAGTCAAGAAGAATTTAGTTTCCCCATTTTGTAGGAAAATATTAAACCTTTTAAACCCTGCTTCTGATTTTAAATTTTATCTCCTTCTATTTCAGTCAGTTTTATATACCTTTTAAACAAGGCAAGCTCTGATCCATGCACTTGTGTATTCTGAAACACCCATTAAAGGGACTCCAGTGCCAGGAAAACAAACCGTTTTCCTGGCACTGCAGGTTCCCTCTCCCTCCCACCCCCATCCCAAGTTGCTTAAGGGGTTAAAACCCCCTTCAGTGACTTACCTGTATCCAGCACCAATGTCCCTCAGCCAGGGTCTGCCCACACTGCTCCTCCACCGACGTCATCCGGCGGGGGAGAACTAGTGCGCATGCACTGCAATGCATTAGACCTCCCCACAGGAAAGCATTGAACATAGCATGAGGACGTCCAGCGACGTTAGAACACACTTTTCGTATTCTATGAACACGGAAGTGTCCTCTAGCGGCTGTCTAGTCACCAGCCACTAGAGGAGGACTTAACCCTGCAAGGTAATTTTTATTGCAGTTTATGAAAACTAATAATTACACTTGCAGGGTTAAGGGTAGTGGGAGTTGGCACCCAGACCACTCCAATGGGCAGAAGTGGTCTGGGTGCCTGGAGTCTCCCTTTAAAGTATTATTGTGGAATAATGGTAGGTTTTTTGTGCCAATGATATGAGCTGAAATTTACATAACACTAACCGTAATCAATGTTACTGGAGTTACATAATAATAGAGGACAAAGACTCAAATTCAGCCTCGCACATCTGTTTCTGCTGACGAACCCAAAGATGGAAATAACCCATGTTGTTGTACAAGTACGAGGAATATATTGGTCACACACTGTTGTTTAGTCTCCCGTAACTACACGCAATTTGTCCCAATGTGAGGAATTCTAATGATCGTAACTAACCTTGTCTGCTCCATTTTTCATCTTCCTCATTTGGACAATAATTGTGTGATTTTCATTTTTCAGTAGAGCGGCTTTGGGTGCCTTTTTCATGTACGATATTGTGGCGTAGGCTGTAAAACTGAAATCTTCCCTGTAAAGAATGAGACGTTGATTCTTAAAAAAGCAGAGACACAGGGAATCTACAAAGGGTGAGAGATCATTACAAAAAAACAAATTCAATATAAAAACTTATCACATATAAAGGCTGTCTATGATTTGCAATGAGTGTCTGGTTGCTTATTAAAGCTTTTCACAGCCCTTCCTATGAGCAGTGATTTATGGGCACAGAAAGAGTTTAGTTGCCAGTTTTCTGCAGTAGAAAGCCACCATAACCTACACTTGGACATCACATACATTATACTCGAAATAAGAGTGGGGACGGAATCAGTATTAACCAGCTACAGCCAAACCGACATATTGTACCAACCACGGTTTTGTACTGGGGCTGCCCCTTTAATAATAGCACTTGGTATGTCTGGCTTTCATATTGTGCAGCATTGTTCTAATCGTTTCACCCCCCATGTCGAAATCTAGTATTATCCAACCGGTTAGTTCTCCTGATTTATTGGGTCATAAGTTGATTAATTTCAACTGGAGGGAGCGGGAGGACAGACTCCTAATAGACTTGTATCCAGACAGATCATTTGTATAAGTAGATTATTATTATACACATTTGTTCGGTAGAGCACCAACACACTGGATGTAGATCGAGCCATTGTTGCTAGAATAATCTTTAAAAACTGATACTTTATATTAAAACACATCTTACTTTATATATTGCTGTAAGAGGAGATTTGTGATAACTCTTTCAATCTCATTGCGAGGGAATTTTGGGGGCCGAACATCCGCGACACGTAGTTTTGAAGCACCCTTTCCCATCCACGCGTCAATTAGTTTCAGGGGGGTAAGTTTTTCATCCATTTGATTAGCTTGCTCCAAAATTTTCATTATGTCTCGACTATAATCTGTTATATCAACCTTTTCATATACTGTAATAAAAAGAAATCAGAATAAATGGAAACATTGAGGGAGAGAGTAGTAGTGAGTCCATGAATAATGAGATTCAAGAATTCTAGATTTCATGCTGCAAAAATAAGCCGGACCAATTCAATTTATTATAAAGAGAACGAGGATGGCTGGTTG